AATGATACCTCCGAGTCAAACGATTTCCTGGCAGGCAGGCTTTGTTCCCATGCCAGTTAATGACAGTGCTAAACCCAGCTGTACATCTCATCCGGTCATTTGTAATTTTACCACCTTGGGCTTCCTACTACAATTCTTATGTTACTAAATTTTTTTATGGTCCCCAACGTAGGCCAGAAACAATATACATTAGGAAAATTTCATGAAAATAATAGAAACTTGGAGGCTAAGTATTTCAAATTAAATTGCCTAATATTTCCACCGAATTTCTAAAGACTGCCAAACGCAGAGAGAAAAACCTGGGAGACACACTATTGGCTGCAAGGGTAAGAGTAACTTATAACGGAAATGAAGCAACTTGCAGATTTTAAGCACGTAGTTAACTTCAAAAAAAAAAATCTTTTATTGGCATAAAAATGAGAATGTCGTATATAAACTGGCACCAAATAATTCACTTGGATGCATGTTACAATATTGGGGTCAAAACACTATTTTATCCCTCTTTGCTGTTTTTTCCCCTTCTGCCCATTTTCCTGGGTGTTGGGGGGGCTCGCTGACAACAGTCACAAATCCAGCGACCTAGGAGAAAAATTGTTAGTTAATACAGAATGAAATTTAACTTACGACTGAATTTTAAACCCATTTAACTCTCCTTCCTTAGCTATCATTAACGATAGTCTTCTCTGGATTTGTGGGGTAAGGGCACAAATGTGTTCCTTAATTTAAGGAGAAAAATCTAAATTTAAGGTGATCAGTGTTACCAATGCCATGTGAAATTCAGGCAAGGGCGGCCATTGAAGGAACAATATTATATGGACCTTTAAAAATTATAACCTTTCTGAAATTTAAACACTGCCATTCTTAAAAAGTTCAATAATACAAATCCTAATGTAAAACTGGCTATTGAGTTTGGCTTATTTTCAGCCCATTTCTCTGCTGCTCAGTGGCAGCTGTATGTCTTAACAGCATTCTCAAGTCCTGGTGTACTGTGCTGACGCAGCACTTTAAAACTTACCAAGTACCTGACGGCACAGTGATAAACAACTAACTACACACTTGATCTGAATTACTACAGCAGAACTTTAAATCAATGAAATTGCTTGCTTCTGATTCCCAGGAAACTTAGTTCTAGGCATATATTTTATATAAAGTATTATACAGTGTTAACTATGCAAGTAAGTTCTAAAATTACACAATTTTCTGTGTAATGTTTGAGTCCATTTACTGTGATTTATTCAATTTATGTTCATTCTAAAGTTACCTGGAATTGTTATGCTGCCTCAATTTATAGAAATCTGGTTTAATATGTACAAAGACAAAGCGCTCACTTTGTTAAAGTTTTAAACAGAGGACCTACAAAAATAAAACCAAGGCTTTGAAACAAATCGATGCTGTTGCGTTAGTCATTTCAGTAGAAAGACAGTGGCTGTGATTAGTCTAGGTACTCTAACGTCTCAGTCCTTTAGTTGGGTGAGCTAGGGATAAAAAGCAGATGAATGTGATCTGGGTAATCACAGTTCAGTCACTTGTGAACAGAACGGTCTAGAGGCACTTCATGTCATTATGATGTTAATGGAGCCTTTTAAAAATGTTGAGAGAGTCCCTTCACTCAGATAATGTTCCTTAGTTCTGTAATCTTTACCTGATGGAATAGCACCGAGGCCCACACAGAAAGTATGGTAACCTCTGTCACACACATCACAGAACATCATTTCCTCTTCATGGTGGGGTTGTCCACATATAATGCAAGTTTTACACTCCATACATTGCCATGGGTAGGTCTTAATCATAGAAACAAGCTCCATGGTCATATCCAGGCAAGAAGGATGGCCTAAACCAAAACCAACATTAGTAGTATTTCATACAAGAATTTTAAACTTACTGTGGCATAACAAAATGCTAGTTTGTTTTGTGATTCTCAAGAATGGCTACGACGTTTAATTGCCAAAGAAATGAAAACATAAGAAAACGCATGGACTTAATCTACACCTTACAAATTACCCTATAATATTCTTAACTCCTTCGTTCGAGTCTAGCTAACAACTCAAAATCCTAGTTTTTGAAGCAACAAACAGGGTGGTTAAAATGTTAAGACACGTGGATACTTACCACTGCTATCACACTGGGAGCAGTGTATAAGTGATTCAGCCTTCCCTTTCTTGTTGGACTCCTTACCCTTCAGACAAATCCCACATAGAGCATTTGGAATGACCTTTGGCTGGAAGGGTAGAAGAGGGCTATAAATTCATGCCAGAACTTACTGTGGGTTCAAAGGAATTGTTACTGTATCGCCTCATCTTTACTTTTGGTAACTTGCTAAGGAGGACCTTTTTGAAAGACATAACTTGACATGAGTCTGCTTTCAACATAGAATGGCCTACTGACTAAAGCCTTACAATTCATTTTAAAATTCTGTCGATGGCATGATCTCATGCTAGGATTCAGTGTAGCATTCTACACTCCCTACATGCACAATAAGATCTGCATGATGACTAGAAGGGAAGACTAAATACAATGTCAAATTGCACTATTAATTGGAAGACAAATGACCATTATTAGTAAGTTAGACTTATTATAGAAGACTCAGTTTCAAGTGCTTATATACTGATTTTGTTTAAACACTGATATTTTCCAAAACTATAAAACCAGATCTATAAAATCTAAGTTACAAAATCAATGTTTTAACATTTTTAATTGAAAGGTGGCTCATGCAGACATTGTTATGTACATAGATGTTTGTGGAAAACCAAGTTGGGTGGTTATTCCTTTTGCACAGCTATTAATACAAAACATAAGTTTCCAGATGAGAAAAAAAATCATCAAAAAATACATACACCCTCTTACATTTTGATTACCATTCATTTTCCATATTAAAAACCATGTTCAAGCCAATGAAGGTATTTGGGCTTAAAAAAAAACACTTGGTAACATAGAAAAGAAAAGAGAAGAAAAGGTTCACTGCACCTAAAATTACCAGGGGAAGGAAAACATCTGAACATCACAGCCTCGACCATAACAAAATGATGTCCGTTCACGCTCCATGAACACGCAAGTATCAGCGGTAGAAGAGCAAGCGTGGGCCCGTGACGACGTGGGGGCTGGGGTGTGCGTATACACACTGGGAGAGAAACCACTTTAACTAGAATTATTATATTTGTTTCACTCCGACCTAGCCAAATGCACCTTCTAGCTCCCTTTCCTAAGTTACTGAACCAGAGGGCCTAAATGAAACTGCAGCTTTGTGCTTAGCATTCCAGCTTTGAAATGTCTCACTGCCACCTTCGAAACCTGTCACGCCTAAACGATTTGTTCTTAATTCTTTTAGCTTTTTATTTTTGTAATTATCTTTCTTTGCAAAAGATGACAGAGGCATTCAAAAATAATTTTTGGCTTATTTATTTAAAAAGTCAACCTTATACATAAATATAATAAAAACAATAACTCTAAACAATCACAAATATCTCTACAAAATAATAAATATCATGGAAGTTAAAACATACATATAAAACTTTACCGTTAACTATTCTACATCTCCTGCATGTGTAGCTTTATACCCTGCTCCCCAACAAAAGGCTAGTGTCACATGCTCAAACCGTTTAAGTCCTGCAGTGTAGTTACCCTCTGTTGTTGCTGCTACATTCTAAGCATAAGGTTCTCATTGTCTTTTCCTATACTCAATACAAAATAGCTAGGAAGTGCACTTCTATGATCCAAATTCTAGTTCAGTCATGATCAAATCTATAACTGCCATAATATACAGCAGAAAGCTATCCCTCAATTCACCAAAATAAGAAATATCTTTTGGTTACGTTTACATTACCTGAACTGAATGTAAAAGATACTTATTTAATACTTGTAGTTTATGTTAGATACGGGCATACTAAGCACTCTAATATCTTTCACTAAAGTCAAGAAAGTAACCACACAATGTTAAATTCTTAAAAGAGCTCCTCTCAGGAGATAGGAGATCCTTTACAAAAGTCAAAAGGAATAAAACACAAGGCTAGTCATTCACATTCTAGAGCAATTCATTCAAGTTCTACAATCATTAAAATATACATTAAACACCTATGATAAAAGGGACACCAAGAAAATTCTAGGTTTACTTCTAAGCTTAAAATCATGTTTTGTTAAACCACTTAAAATTTTTCTTACCCAATAGTCTTCATCTTGATGAAAAGAGGGAGTAGAGGGAGCGCCGGGGGGGGAGAGGGAGAGGCACGAGGAGGAGGGGCAGGGGGAGAGGGAGGAGTGGGGGGAGAGACAGAGAAAGAGAGAGAAACCCAGCAAGCGAGCAAGCGCTTTTTAGCGTTTTCTATGGTAGTGCCACGGCTCAGTATAAAAACTACTTTGTTCATTCAAGTACTCTCAGCTCTCTAAGAGGTCACACTGTTCACATCCAGGACCTCGCACAGCAGATACGGACCGCTGGCTGGGAAACTGGGAAACCAGTCTCTCAGTGTGCTGTGGAGTCGATGGAGGAAGGGGGCAGCGTGCAGAACTCCCGTGAAGCTTCGTGGAACAGGACCCTATGTGTGCCTGACAAGAGACGGTCAAGTCTACCTCTATTATCATTATCAAAGTTTCACTACTGACGAGAAAATTAAAATACTCATCCTAACAGTTCTCAGCTTCTCAAATAAAAGGCTCACAATACACTTATTTTCCTGCTTAAAAAATAACCAAAGATAAGTGAGACTTTCATGGTAGCACTAATATAGTATAGATTTTAATTATCTACTAGTAATGTAAGCCTGAATCATAACTTATATGCTTTAATTTCAGGTTAATGTAACCTAAACAATACTGTCCTACAAATTAAGGGCAAGCACTAATTTCATTAAGCAAGACATCAGATACATTATCATTTTTCTTAACTCCATTATTTTCAAACATTTACATATATGACCTTCAGCTTGAAGTATCCTTATTTAGGCACGTCTTGGCTTATTAATACTTTTCATAGAGAGGTTAACTTTTAATAAACACGTTCATATTAATGTAGTAAGTCTAAATACTGGCTGTTCCAAACTTTGAAATACCTGAAACGTTTTTAGTACCTGAAGCACTAAACATTATTAGTGCAGATTACAAAACGTGTACTGTGCACATCAGACTCCCTCGAGTACTACCAAGTCAGGTTAATCCGCACGATTTCTTCTATATTAAACCAATGAGAGTTTTGAGTAGTTCATTTCCAGCCGCTATGAAAACATCGATTTCAGCTCTGTCTTCTTCAGCCATGATTAACGCAGTCGCACTGTCTGGAAGGTCTACTGATGCCCACGGCACGGGGGCTGCCACGCCACCCGACCCTCCCGTCACACCGGCCGACCTTCCAAAATTTAATCTTTGGAGTTCGTTTGCTTTTACTTATTATGCATTAATTTAAATATTTAGTTTTTAAAAATTAGATAAACTATAAACGTGAAAACAAGTAAAAAATCACATGCTGCGGCCTACTGAAGCCACCCTTGCGAGCCAACCAACACTTGCTGAATGAAGCTCAGGAATTTTTTGCCCTAGGCTAAAAAAACATGAATTTTTAAGTTAGTTACGGAAAGGTATATTCTAAATAAATATAGACTATACTAATTTAAGTCGCTTTTTTCCTTCAAGAAAAGCTAAACGAGCGGTCAGAGGGCCTGGCTGGGCGGTGGCCCTGTGGCTGACCGCAGTCGGGGTCCTGACACACAGCGAGCCGTTCACAGTTCCACTCGGCAAAACTCTCACTCCTAAATGTGCCTTCAAAACACCTGCGTAACCACAACAGAAAGTACGTTCTGATACATTCTAGACCCAAAGAACTGGACACTTCTATGACCATCCAAAACACAAAACTGTGAGCAGCTAATTCCACTCCTTTTATGATATTCCTAGTGCCCACCTTCGACTCGCCTAACCCTCAGAAGGGGAAGGGCAGACATCAGGAGGAAAGAACAGTAACGATGTTGCAGACAGCGGACGACCTTACAGAGAAAACCCGGATTAAAAAATCAACGAGTGTATCTGAGCCAAACTACCTCACGGGATAATGTTTAAATCCTGCCATAAAATTATATCAGCTATTTGCCAAGGTTAGGCTAAAAATCACCACACTGTAAATAAGAGGTTTTACTATTTTCTATCACAGAGTTAGCTGAGTTTGGCAAATGGATCAAATAATCCTTAGATTAAACCCAGATCTTTCTTAATGAAAGGCACTACAAAAATACAACCTAACCTACAGCATATCCGGCCATGCTTTACAGCTCAGCATGTTTAGCTCTACTAAACACCATGATACTTAAAACATCAGCTAGGGTTACTCCGACGCGACTTCGAAGAAACAAGGTATAAAGTTCTGCCTATAATATGATTTTTTAAAAAACTCATACTTGCCTGGTTATTATTTAAAAGAAAAAAAAAAAAGCAGCTCTCATAAATTGTACATATACAGAAAACAGAAGCTAAACCATAGCCAAAAGTGATAGAAAAGCCACCAGGAAAATGAAGCAAAACAGAAGGAAGCTGACAGAGGGCGCACACCACAGGAGAACAGCTAACGAGGTGCAGCGGCAGGAGCTCCACAACTTTGAAATTCAAAGTTAAAATATCTCAGGGAGAGAGGCTGGTCAGGAAGGAAGCTGAGTCAGGGGCTTTTTTCTTCTACCTTGTACCCAGGAACTGACTTGGACAGTACAGAGCGTTTGGGAGCATCTTTCCGTGGAGTCGCAGCTTTGTCCCTGGATCTCTGTCTTCCCTGTAAGGACTCATCCTGGCTGTCGGGAAGGCCTTCCCCCTCAGACACGTTGCCAGAGGAGCTGTCCTGGAGGTCAACACACAAACAGAGCCCTTGGAATTCACACGGATTTGAGTCTGAATTTTGAAAACTACAGAAAATATTCGAAAGCAGCTTTAAAGTTCCAATTTAAAAGTAAAAAGATAACGCTAAATGTAAGAAAACTTTTCCAGTGGAGACTAAAATGAGTCACGTTAGTCATTTACCTGTCCTGTAAGTACATCATGGCAGTTGGTCTTCCGACTTACATCAACAGAGACAGAATTATCTACTTCGGCTATTGTCACACACTACAGCTTCGGCGTTCTGCCATGTCACAAGGGGGCATAGTTGTGTCATACACAAATATTGTTTAAAAATAAATGTTTAAGCGTGGGTATTTTTATTGAGTAATACAAGTCATTAAAGAAGTTCTTCAAGCACACGCTCATGTTTCCAAAATGTTCAACTATGTAGGGGCCAATATCATCTGGTATTTACAACAGTACTGGATATATTTTAGATGTTCAAAGCTTAGGAGTTCAATATCTGATCACTTAATTCATTTTTTAATTCAAAAATTTCTAATGATACGCTCATATAAATTATGCAAATCCTAAATGAAAAAATTAAGTTAGACATACCCACCCTGATAACCATTCTGAGAAAACTACTAGCAACATGAATGTAACTCCTTTTTCCCTAGGTGAATGTGGGTATACAGACAGATACCGAGATTCACACATTCACACTCACACCCTACATACACATGTGCCCTCTTTTTTTAAAATACAAAACTAGATTATATTGTTTGTGTGTGAACGTGTTTTAGTAGTATTGTAAGTATTATGTGCACCTTATCACATCATTAAATATTCTTTGAGCTGCGTATCTACCACATAAGTATAATATATCACCCACTGTGGACGTTACATTTCTAATTTTCACAATAAAAAATACTATTGACACTCTAGTGAACATTTTCTTCTAATTAAATTTTGTCAGCATCTGATTAGGTCCTTTGGATAACTTCTATCGGTGTCTTTGCTAAATCAAATTCTGTGAAAGTCCTAAATCTTGGTTTATACCGTCGAAATACTTCCCTGCAATGCTGGATTACGGCACACGACTGTCAGCTTCGTGACGGCCTCCTCACGCCATAGCTCCCCTTTTGCCAACAGGACAGGTAGCTGAACAGCTTCTTATCTGATGCGACATGTATCTCTAAGTTATATTTTAGTGGCCACTGGTGACATGGAAATGTACTGCCCACTTAACAGGAGCAGCTTGTCAGGTTAGGTTGGCTACAGTGAAAAGTCCTACAGTCAGTGGCTTCGTACGCTGTGCTAGGCAACATCAAAACCTGGACCACCCTGCTTTTTGTTCTTTTCATTCCACAGAGCACCCCGAATTCCCCACTGTCTTCCAACTGCATTTTGCTACCAAAAAAGTCATACAGGAAAACCTAGCAGCGCAACATGTCATTAGTAACCTTAACGTTTTCTATGAAAAGCCTAAAATAATTATGCATATTAATGTGCTCCCGCAACCAAGATAGTTAAATATAATATCGTAAACTAACGTCTGGTACCCTGGCCTAAATAAGCAGCTTGTGATAATCAAAAAGAACAGCTTCAACTATAAAACTTACCAAAGGCCGTGCACAGCTTGTCTATATCAATGCGCACAATAAATAACTTCTCTTGATGGAAGTTTTCTGGAAATTATATGCAACTGAACTTTTTCAAAAAGAGGATGGTAATGCAACTTCAATTTAACACTCCAGGAAAGGAATCAGCACAAGTGCAAAAGAGGCGGCACCTCCCCCCGAAGCCAGATGCTCTCACCGAGGTGCCTTCAGCTCGCCTCCTCTCACCGCCTCGACCTTCCTCAGCCTCATCCGAGTCACCGTCACTATCCAGGGCAGGGAGCTCGGGATCCAGGGGAGGCTCGTACAGTGCCGTGTTTAATGGCAAATACCGCAGTTCGTCCGGTGAATACCTGGTGTTCAGAGGCATGGTTTTCAGTTTTCCTTTTTATTAACATGAGCAGACTAATCTTTGAACTACAAAGATAGTCTTAATTTTCTCAATTAACCCCAAATACTTTTGAGAAATGATTAGACGTAACAATTTTTCTTTTGGGGATCAAGTGGGGACAAGTAATAAATAAAAAACCTAAACATTTTTTCACCAGACCAAGTATAAAATATGCACTTGATTCGTATTATCGAAAGATACCGTCTCCTTTTTACCCTCAACCCGAAAAAACAAGTGGCAGCAGATATGGGCAAAACTGTGACAATACAGAATCCAACACAAAATCCAAGCTGGCTGATCACCCCCACCTCCCCACTTTCCTAAGTCGCCACTGCCGTGGGTCGTCCCTGCCTCCTCTGTAAATGGTACGATAATGAGTCAAACTCCCAGGTGGACACGAGAAGTAAACTACCGCACGCCAGTCACAGCAGTCCATTGTATTTAAGAAACAAAATTTTCAGTAACAAATTATTTTAAACCAATTTGTGAAGCATGTACTCTAACAACTTTAATCTTCTGTTTTATCTGAAACTAGAAACTCGCACCCCTTTGCCCTGAGTCAGAAGCTGACGCTTCTGGTGCCGTCCCCGCCAGCAGGAGCGCCCTGTCCTGCTCCACGCCCAGCAGCAGGCTCCGTGACCTTCGCTCAGGGACAGGACTGCACCAGCATCTCCCTCAACTGAGACATCACACCAAAAAGCACAGGGCGTGGTCCACTGGCCCATCGCTTCTAACAAGGTGCTGACCACAAAACAGAAAAGTTAAAATTCGGTGACCTATGATTTAAATTTGACTTTCGTACAGTATCAGCCTCTAGTCTACTTTAAATACTATTCTCAAAAGAATTTTTCTTTCCTCAAGAACACAGCTGAGACTTTGAAACAAAATAACCCTTTAGTGCTGTTTTCAGTCCCTTCCAGGTTGGGAATAACAGATAAGCACATTCTTGCCGCGCACAGTGGCGGCAGCCACCAGGGCAGTGATGTGGCTGCAGCAACCAGGTGGCCACACTGGCCCTGGCAGCCACTCTGCTCCTTCCTTCATATCCCATGCTGGCTAAGTTGGTGCTTCTCAAACTTTATTTGCACACGAATCATGTCAGCATCCATGAAAATACAGACTCCCAAGTCCGTGGGTCTAGGCTTGTGTCTGAGTGTGCATTTCCAGTAAGCCTCCAAGTGACACGAGTGCCGCTGGGACATGGACCACACGCTGAGGATCAAGAGGTGCCAGAGAACCTCTAGCACCTGTCTGCAGAAATACGAAAGGGTGCGCAGGGAGCTGGGCGGTCCAGGCTCCATCTGCAGATGTTCAAACTCTGGGGAAGGGTGTGCTTCCCACAGAACCACAGAGATGAAAAATACTGACACAAACCTTAGACATTTATGGTAAATCTCACGGAGCTCAAAACCTGCAAGAGGCAACCACATGAGGCTCTTAAGTCCCTCGCCAACAGCCGGTACTAGTGGTAAATGCGATCACCGAATACCTTTTGTAATATTCCTGGAACTGTCCGGGGATGAGGGCCACCGGGTAGGAACTGACCTTGGTCCGCTCTGTCGGTAACACTCTGTACTTCCCTTGAGGGACCTGGATAACCTGGGTGACCATGAAGAGAAACACAAAACTAGTTCCATGGTAGGAATTAAGGCTTTAGGAAAAGAATCCCTCTGCATTCCTCCCCCGAAAAGGTCGACTAGAAGAGGCATTAGGAGCAACCACCCAAGGCGGCAGCTGCTGTTCCTCGTTCTACTGGGGACTTTTGTGCAGCTCTTCCCCACGGTCACTGCTAAGGAAAGACTCTCATCCCTTAACAGCAATGTGACCTGGGCAACTTACAAAACCTCTGTGGCTCCACTTCCTCATCTGTGAAATGGAAACACTAGATTCAACCTCGCATGGTGACTGTGAGAATTCAGTGAACATGGAAATCTACGACAGCTCTTGGGGCACACAGCAAGGACAACCTAGAGGTACTGATCTCATTCAGTAGAACGTATACCACAAAGCAAAAGACACACACGCACGTGAATTGAGTATTATAAGGCCATCGTTAAAAACGTATCTTAAGTTCTGGGGAAGAAAAAGACATGTCGCTGGCAAAATAAAATAAAGGTGGTATGCAGCAGCACTCTGCAATAACAAGCAAAAATAAGCAAGGTTCGGGGACTAAGCGTAAGTGTTCCTACGTGTGTCTGTAGGTCAAAATAAGCTCTTCTTTCTTCCATGCGTTCCCGGTTTAAGTTGCTGTTAAATTCAGCTGCTTTTTTGGCAGCTTTCTTAATATACTCAGGCACTTTGCTGGCTTCAACTTTTTGCGTATTCTGTTGTTGCATTTGCTGAAAAAAATATTACAGTTCAAAATTACATAACTTTACAAAATGTCATTCTCCCCAAACCAAATAAAAATGCTAGTCACCTCAATACTTACAGAATACTCTTTATAATGATCTGTAATTCGTTGACGTTCTTTTTCTTGTAGAATTACAGAATATTCAGCATGTTTGGCTGGATATTCTTTAATCATTAAATCAATTACTTCATCACTGCGCAATGCTGTTAAACCTATTTTAGACCAAAAAAAAAAAAAAAAAGGTAAAGAAAATCAATTAGGCCTAAGTGAAAAAACCTACATCTCGAAATTTGTTTTTCCTTCCGACTACTCTACATTTAAAAGATTTTCCAACAGTCAAAGTATTGTAATACATTTGAAAATAAAAAAAAACTCAATATAATCAATTAAAAAGAAATAGATTACCAAAGTTGCAAAGGCAAAAAAAATCAATTTCTCGACCAAATGTTTCTTTTTTAAAAATTGAATGTACTATAAATACATGTTCCTTTACAGAAAAAAATGCTAAATAATATATACTAACTAATGGCAATAACATAGGATAATAGCTTTTCAATATATTACAGTACTTAGTCTTCAAATTTGATAAACCACAGTCAATTTAAATTTCACCAAAAGCATCAGTGCATATAAGTCATTCAGGCAATTTTCAAATCTCATAGTATCAGATTACAACAACTGCCGAGATGAATTCCTATGCTTTTGTATTAAAAAACAGCCATGTTGCTTCGAAATGTTTATGTAACAAAAATTACAAATAAAGCACGAAGATAATTACACAGAACTGAAAATGGAGCAAAATTTGCCTTTCAAAAGGTAAGGACTGTCAACTGATGGTCATTGGTGCTATTTCAACGCCAACCGAAATCCCCAATTTGGGGTGTGGTAAAGAGAAACTTTACTCAGTACAAACAGCTCAACTGTGATACCACAGCTGTGAGCAGCACGACTGTGGAACAGCTCAACTGAGCTGTCTTACAACGCAATTACCAAGCAGCATGGCAGCAAGATGGCCCTGAGGCCAGGCGCCTCTCTGGCTAGACAGCTCTGCTCCACGCTGCACAGGAATGCTCCTCATCCTGGTCCCGAGAGACATCTGTGTTTCAGCTCCGGCTGGAGAAACACAGTCTGCACCGTTTGGTGGAAAGAGAAAGTCTCTGAGCCTGAGGGGAACTGACTTACATAAATAGAAGTCCCCACCCCTGGGCCCTGAATGGTCTGTCTTCATGCAAATGAAGACTCCAAATCCTTGCAGTTTGATTGGCCCAAAAGGCACTGTCCTGATTGGTCAAATGGGGTCATTCTGATTGGTCAGTGAAGATGCTAAGGAGAATATAGCTACACAGCTCCAACCATACAAGAAATCCTCAGTCCTCTTGGTTGAAATACTAATCCAAGAACTCCTTTGTAAGAGCTGGCTCAGCTAGCGGGAATACAGTGCAGACACGCAGTTCAGTGCAGGCTTCTCCCTAAAGTGAAGTTTGCTTGAGAGGCCCTGTGTAGAAACAGCTGCTAGGCTGTTTTTAAATGAGCCCAGTCAGCCACCAGGAGTCCCTCTTGGTAGGTATTTTCTTTCTCAGGGTCCATAGGACCAATACTTTTAAAAAGTACTGTACAAATTTTGCACACAAAACACACACACTTTGACATTTCTGTTCACGTTTTCTGAAGTTATTAGAAAATGGGGAAAATATATAATTCTCATTTGTATTTTAACAATAATCAAAAATAAAATAATTTAGCATTTAAATAATTCAATCTACTTTATTAGTTTTGTAAAACATTTTAGAAAAGGAGATAAATACTCATCCAGTATCACCTCATAAATGGTCAGCTTTCAAAATTCGAATTAAAAGCTTTCATTACCTAGAGTGCATTGAGTTTCTGTAATGACATTTAGCTCTCTCAGGTAGAGTTTCTCTTTATGAGACAAATCTCGTCGCTCTAAATCTCCAAAAAAAAAAAAGAACAAAGAACTATTAAAAATAGTCATTTGCATTTGTAACATTATGCATTTGTAAAACATTCAAAAGCTTTAAAAACTTTTTGAAATTATTAAAAAGTTAACATTTTCAAGGATTTTTAAAAGTTCATATTCCAAATATTATTAGGGGCTACATAAAAAATTTTACAAATTCAAGAAATAAGTTAAAAAAGTTAAAATAAAATTGAAAATAGAATAATCCAAAGCTAGAAGTAAACATAACTATGTTAAAATAGTTGAGTACAGTCTTCTCCAAATTCAGATACAGCGTATTTAGCTGCCTCCATTCCTAAGGTCAAAGAGCAATGTTAAAAATGCAAAACCTTGCGTCATGTAGCTACAAAACAATTTTTTTAATTGTCCCCAGGAAATGTATCTTCCTCATTTTGCTTTTAAATCATTTTATGAGGCAAAAGAACAATTAAGAGTAGAGAGAAATGTTGGATGATAGGAGTAAGTGAAAATCAGCCAGAAGAATGTAAAGTATATTATAAGTCATACTTAAAATTTATAGTTTGACAACCTATCAAAAAGAATTACTGTTGAAAGGTAGATTTAATCTGTTACACAAACTAAGACTTAATACCTGGATATTTCCGTTTAAAGGAGGTCACACCCAAATATTCACTGACTTGTTCTTGAAGCATATAGTATTCTCCAGTTTCATCAGGTGGCCATTTGTACTCTATCAAATTTTCTGCTGGATAGTAGCTAAAGCTAAGCACAGAGATATACGTTATGCCTTATATGTAGCTTTTACTAAACTTTAATCATTTTTATTTTTAAGAATATTTAAAGATTTGTTTTTGAGGCTATTTAGTTTTAAGGATTTTGAAAACTATTTTAAATTATTTAAATTCTCAGTCTTCTATGACTTTGCAATGCAAAAAAAGTTTCCATGACTTCATGTGCTATCGAAGGAAATTACGAAACAGGTAGAAGGAAAGGAAACATCTATCTGGAATGCCAAAACAAAAAAATACAATGAAAATAACATTTTCAATATATCATACAGAACCAAGACTCACGACTGTTAGGAACAAAGCATATTTTTAGCTTATGAGACCTTTTGGGCCAAAACGGTGATGACATCAGTTCTGAATTCTTTCTCTTGGGCTTAACACCCATAGCCACTATCTCATCCAGCCAAGGTTTAAAGTAATCAACTGCTGCTTCCCACCTGCTATTCAGTGACTTATGAAAAGCTGAGAAAGCAGAACTCTAAAAACCTATTTCTCAACAAAATAAACTATAAACATTACTTATTTGTTCTGATAGACTTCACAAACCCAGAAACAAAGAAATGGACATAGTTTGATGGTGCCAGTGTACTGCAGATCAACCCCAATCCTGAACAGGAAATACTATAGTTTTCTGGACCTGGGCCAACTCAATTTCTAAATTTCATCAATGGATACTAGAGGCAGGAATGTGACACTATTTCATGAACCTATCCAATTAAAAGTAATGAACAAAAAAGACCAGTTTTCTCAAAAATGGTGCTTAGAAATTGGATATTCAAATACAAAAGTATGAAAGTTCGACTCCTAACTCATATCACATACAAAATTTAATTCAAAAGTGGATCACTGACCTAAATATAAGAACTAAAACTAGAAAACTCTTAAAAGAAAACATAAATAAATCTTCTTGATCTCAGATTGAGCAATGGATTCTAGATGTGACATCTAAAACATGAGCAACAAAAAAATAGATAATAAGGAATTCAGCAAAATTAAAAAATTTGTGCTTCAAAGGACATTATCGACAGTTAAAAAAAAACCCACAAAATGGGAAAAAACATTCGCAAATCATATATCCGATAAGGCATTAATAATAATCCAGAATGTATAAAGAATTCCTACAACAAAAAATATCTGTCTACAGACAAAATGTGTCCGATCTCATATGATCTTGGAAGCTAAGCAGGGTCAGGCCTGTTTGGTAGTTGGATGGGAGACCACCTAGGAAGACTAGGTGCTGTAGGGGTTTAAAAAAAAAATTTTAAACCAATTTAAAAATGAGCAAAAAACTTGAATAGACATTTCTCCAAAGAAGATACACAAAATGGCCAATAAGCACATAAAAAGATGCTGAACATTGTTAGTTCTTAAGAGTTCAAATCAAAATCACAATGAGATACCACTTCAGAGCTTTTGGAATGGCTATTATCAAAAAAATAATAATAACAACAATTTAGTAAGGATGAGAAGAAACTGGAAACTTTGTGCATTGCTAGTGGGAATATGAAATGGCGCATCCACTGTGGAAAACAGAAAATTACCATATAACCTAGCTATTCCACTCCTAAGCATAACTCCAAAGGAATAGGAAACAGAGATTCTCAACAGATCTGGCTATACCAATGTTCACAGCAGCACGATTCACAGCAGCCAAAAGCTGGAACTCACCCTGTGGTGTCCATCAATTGATGAATGAATGAACAAAATGTGGTACATCCATACACAGAAGTATAATTCAGCATTAAAGAGGAAGAAAATTCTAATATATGCTACAACATGGATGAGCTTTGATGAAATTATGCTGAGATAAGCCAGACACAAAACAACAAATATTGTATGATTCTACTTATATGAGGTACCTAGAATAGGCAAATCCATAATGACAGAAAGCGTGATTGGTTGCCAGGGGCTGGGGAAAGGTGGAAATGGGAATGTTTAGTGCTTAATGCATATGGTTTGTTTTCAGTAGTGAAAAAGTTTTGGAAATGAATGATGGTAATGATTATACAATACTATAAATGTAATTAATGCCACTGAACTAACTATATACTTTAAAATAATTAAAAAGCTGAATTTTATGTGTATTTTACCAGAATTAAAAAAAAATTAATTGCAGTAAGAGCAAAAGCAACTTTGGTGACACACAGTAAAACATGACAAAAAATAACCTACAGTTTTTGGTAACTGCCTTTGTCAGGCTGGGGGGAGGGCTGGAGAGAGCTCGTGCAGAGAGAAACAAAGCACAAAAAGGGACTAGTAAGCAATTCAACGACAGTACCCGAGGTCTTGACTTGAAGTTTCACAACTTCTGGAGCTATCGCCTGAGCCCATGCGCCTCCTTTTCGACGGTTGGGTCCCATCATTTGAATTATCTTCATTATCGTCCTATACATTTCAAGGATTCAAAAAATAACGAGAAATAATAAGAAGTAAGGAAAGAATGCATCTTCCCAGACTCGCTGAAAGGTTCACTTATGGACTAAGGGCAACTAGTTATACATGTTAACTTTCCATTATAATTAAAAAGGGGCCAAGAATGTGGCATGGGAAACCCTGGAAAAAAACTAAAAACTGATCTTTAATACAATCAGAGTAAAAAAAACCTTTCCATTAACTTGGAAATCTGAATCTACTTTTGTTTTCTTACCAAAGTTAAAGTGTCTTCTAGTTTAAACGAACACATAAAATTGCTGCAACACTTTAAAACTGAAGCAAACTCTCCTACCTCAGCTAAGAACAAAATATGTGGATCGTTTAGTGTTTAATTCAACTTATGGCTGGTTTATAAGAATATACTAATAGGCTATTTTTAGTACTTATATCCCTGTGAAAAGACATACAAAGACTAAAAACAGGTTACCAATCTTGTTTATGTTGCAAAATTTAGGAAAAATATTCTCTAATAAGAGTCATCAATCTATTCAGCAACACTCTCCCTCCCCCCAAAGAAAAGAGGCTTTAAATTTTTTAAGTGACATCATCTATTATGTGACAATAACATCCAGGTTGTAAGTCGGACCATTACATTATATAAATGAATGAAGTATGAACTTCAGGAAATTAATTTATTCACATTAGCTAAGGTTTAATGAAAAGAGGCTTACTTTTTTTGTTTTTGTTTGTTTGTTTGTTTTAAATCAAAGTAATACATCTTTCTAAAACATTCAATTGGGTTAAATCCAGTCGTCCGCCTGCTACACGTTAAAAGGAAAGCGATCCCGCAGAATATGAGGAGGAAGGTGCGGCGGTCAGGCGTGCGGACGCCCGACTGCCTGCGACTCTCCCTGGGCACCGCCCTTCACCCTGTGCGCGCCGCTCCTTCCTTACCTTAACCCCGAGGGGACAGCGCCTGGCCGGCTGGACTAAGGCAAGGACTAACGGAGCTACTGCACGGGACGCACTTAAGGGCAAAGCCTAGCAAGTAATTAAGTGCCCGACAATAGTTAACATGATTATGACGATAAAGATGGCTCTGGCTGTGAGTTTACTCAGATTCTCTCCCAAACTGCAAACTATGCTGAATACTGTCCTTTTCCGTTTTTACAAAACCAGGATTCAATTAAAGACTTCTGTATATTCCTAAGACAAGCCGCCAGGTAGGATGTGGAGAACAGTCTAGATCTATTCTCCTCAAGTTGGCGACAGCAGGCATCCCAGCCGGAACCCGTCCCCTTCGACTCTCCAGGCCTAACTCCTGTCCGCGTTCAGGTGTCACTTTTTGCTATGCGACTTGCTTCGAGCGCTCGAAGGATGTTTGTGTCGACTTGCTGGAGCGGACTTCCGCTGGCTGAAACCCGGGGACACTGCGGCCACGTCGCAGGGCCGCTCGCCGTTCAGGCCGCCCGGGCCCTGCGCGCGCAGCGGGGGCCCCGCGGGGTCCGTCCCCGCCCCGTCCCCGTCCGGCTTGGGGCCGTCTCGGGTCGCCTTCGCGACCACCATCTAAGTTTTAAACGTCATCCCCGCATCCCAACCTCCCGTCTCGACCCGCTAAACTTGAAAAACAACAGGTTTTAACAACGCGCGACGCTC